TTAGTTAGTAGTAGTGTGTGTGTGTGTGTGTGTGTGTGTGTGTGTGTGTGTGTGGAGGGGGGGCGGGAAATGGAATAGAGAGCATTAGGATTTTTTCCCCAAACTTTATTCACAAGTACAATTATTATTACTATTTTCTATTGTTGAATACCCCATAGGCTCCACCTGAGATTGGGGCACAGTTGTGTTAGGTGATGTATAAACACATAGTGAGAGACAATCCTTGCCTCAAAGAGTTTACGGTCTAAATAGACAACAAAGATACAGTGAGAGAAGAAAGATCAGATCAATGGTAAAAGTTGGGAATAGAATTCAGGTCTACGGAGTCCTAGTACAGTGCCCGATCTGCTAGTGTGCAATGCTGGAGCCCAGAATTTTTATCAGAAGGAAAAACAGTCTGTTTTTCTGTATTCTGAACATTGGTCAGGTTAGCATCTGTCACTAGTTCCATGAATCCCTTTTGTTAGTGTGAGGAGACACAGCCCAAGTAATCGTTTATGTACATGAGACCTCAAACAAGCTGTGATATTATTTGGATACTCGTCTGCAGTGCCTAGGAGGAAGGGGTAGGAGGGAGTTTTTCATAAATCCGCCAAGTTTTTTTCAGAGCACTCCAAAAACACATAGAGAATTGTCCTGGACTCTCAGCTCTGGGAGCTCCTGCTGCCCATGCTAACTCTCTAGGAAAAATCATAAGGGACTTTCAATGGAAAGTAGGCACTTAACCTTTTGAAAATCCCACTAGGTGTCTATCTGCATCTTTAGGTAACTCAATACTTTTGTAAATCTGGCCCTGAGAACTAAAGAAGAGGGAAGCAATGCCTGCAATTGTATTGACTCTTATTGCTTCTGGGGTATTGTTTTGGGCTGCCTCCAAGTTACTTTCCTACTGCTCCAGCTGCCTCTGGGGTGCTATTCATTTAGAACATGGGCTGGGTCTTGTAATGAAGGGACTGAGACCACAGTTTTCAAACTCAGAGGTCTAACTTGTACCGATCCACATGTAACACCATGTCATATGTAACCCGCCCGTCTGAGAGAAAGTTAGTACACATTCTTGTACACATTTGAAATTCCACCTTACCCTAGGAACAAAAGACTCTGTAAAAAAGACAACATAGGAACTTTAAGTGCCTTAGCCCTATAGTAACATTTCAGCAGGTGTTTGCCAACCAACCCTGCCTGTAAACATTTGAAATATCACTTCTATTGTGAATGGTATTTCTTACACAGGAAATCTTAGCCTGTTGTGCTTCAATGACCTTAGCATTCTGTAGCCCGTGTTTGAATAGCAGACAGGGAAGTAACCAGGCATGTTGCTGAGTGGCTGTCACCTGTTTCTCAAGATGCCAGCAGCTAACTAAGTAGATCCTCAGGGTTAGAGTGTAGGAGCAAACTGGGGTAAATGTTTAACTTGACTCTTTGGAGTTTATGGCTTGTGCTTTTCTTTATTAACCCAGCATGGGTTTTTTTCTTTACAGTTGCACAACCGCAGGCAAGCAGATACCAAAGGGGCACTTGATATAACTTGCTTATGGAAGAATGAACAAAGGTAAGGGGCTTTATGTTTTATATTCCTATCATACCTATACATTGGAGAGACGCTTCAAGTTTCCATGTTGGCTTTTTCTAGCGGGACAGCAAGCATGTAGAAAACAATATCAATATTGTGTCAGGTAGAAACGGGAGAACATCCAACTATGTTCCTAGAATGAAGGAAAATGTTATGTTGCTCTGATGATATTTTCTACCTTTTGGGCAAGTTGGCTCATATACCTTAATGTCATGCTATGATGTTGTTAGAAAGATCTCCCTTGCAAAGCAAAAGTGACAGCAAGAAATGCTGCTCAGAGTTGTGAATTTTTGTCAGTGAGATTGTGTGGTTAGAGCTGGGAATTTTCTGACAATTTTTTTTTCTGAAAATGCTGATTCGTTGACACCAAAACTGAATCGCAAAACACCTAACTCAAACGATCGGAACTTTCTGGTTTGAAAATGTCAAACGGGATGTTTGGATGATATTGAAACTTATCAAAACAATTATTATTATTATTTTAGTTGAAATGACTTTTTCTTTCAGAATTTTAGTAAATTTACACTAGAAAGTTTTAAAAGAAAAGGTTTGAAATGGAACTGAAGCATTTCAAAATTATTGAAACAAAAGATACTGATTCTTCTGAACTATTTCCCCCCCCTTTGGTTCATGAAAATTTTCAAGATTTAAACTTTTCATCAGAATTTGGACTGGGAACAATTTCAAAAGGTCAAAAATTCTCATGGAATGGGAAAACCACTTCCCACCCAGCCCTGTTTGTGGTAGCATAACACTGAAAGTCCTGTCACTGCTTACATGTTTTTTAAAGCAGGTCACTGGATAGACCAAACTGTTTTCATACTAATTCAATTTATATCATATTGGGATTTAAAGTGAGTAGCGACAATGAACTCTTTAAAGAGCAGACTAGATGATCACAGTGGTCTCTTCTTGCAGATTTCTCCTGCCTCAATTTCCCTGTCCACCAGACTGGATACCCTATATCTTCCTCTCTCTGTCTTTTTCACTACTGTCTTAACAGATCTCCCCATTCATAGAGATGGCCTTATTATTTCTGTTGTATTAAGGTCTAAGGTTTTCATCAGCCCCTTTGAAAAGCTCAGTATAGCCTAATTATTCTACTCCTTCCAAATGACTGTGTCCTTGCGTTTTATTCCCTTCTGTGTAGTTGTAGGTATGGGAAGAAGGTTCTTTGTGAGGGAAGCCAGCTGTTGATTCATCTGCACAAACACAAAGGGCTAGAATGCCATTGTAACCTGATACAGAAATGAGCTTGGTTTTTGGCACAGTACAGGCATTCGCTTTGTATTGCCTGTGTGTATGGCACAAAGCAGCTCAGAGTGAGTGCCTGGCTAAGAGGGCTCACCCGCTGAGCTCTGCCTTTATGCTTGTTGATGGGGTTTTAAGTGGGGAAGGGTTCAGAAGGATCTTTGCCAAAATTAAGTGCACAAAGAAAATTCAGGTAATAACTAAAGGGCTGGAATTTAGTTTTGTTTAGTTTTAAAGGAAGGCAATTTGAAAAGAAATTAAAGGTGTAATGGAGGCATTGTCTATTCAATTGTCTCTAGAATCTATTGTAAATATTAGATAAGATCTGGTGCATTATTTATAATAATACTATTGTTTGCAAACATTAATTAATTGATGAAGAACCAGATTCTTCCACTCTGACTCACATGCATAGCAATTTACTCCATGAGTAGTACTATTGGTTGAATGGGATAAATAATGGATTTTATGGATGGGGAAACTGAGGCATAGGGGCAACGTCAAATGACTGGGACAAATTCACACAGCCAGTCAGGGGCAAGTTGAGACCAGAACTCAGCCTCTAATTCTTACCATTAGACAGTCTCTCATTCCTGATTTACATAGCCTTCAAATAGGGGTGAGGACGGAATCTCTGCTCCTCCCTCTCGCCATGTTTAACATTGCACACTCAGATATGTGCTGTATTATGGAGTTACCTTTTTCTTAAGCTACTGGGCTCTGGTGGTGGGAAGATTATTATTATGATATAATAATATCAATAACAGCAGCACCCGCAACTTGCTAAGCCCTGTGCACACACAGAGAAGAGATAGATTATTGGTCTGACCCTAAGTTTCTACATTCCTAGGAATCAAAACCAGGGGGCAGAGACAGTCCTTTTGTTCTGTTTGTACAATATCTAGCACAATGGAGTCCTAGTCCGTGACTGGGACTCCACAGTGCTACAGTAATGGAAATATATAAATAACGAATAGTAATTTCTAGTAGCTTTGAGAAGATGGTAAGGAAAGGTTCACAAGCGCATTATATAATATAAAAGGGTGACACATTGCAATAAGCACCAGGATCCATGAAGTTTCACCATCTTCACATGCCTTGGAGGCAATTTATAAATTACAGTTTAGGAGCTATTTATGCATAATCTCGCTCCTGTAAACATTAAAAATGTTACCATTTGTGGGGGCGGGAGAGAAAAATCACACTGGTCTCATTCACCCTCAGCCATCCTACGTGCACTGACCTGTTTTTCTGTGCTTGCAAGATGGAAAGTACAACTGCGACAAAGTCCAAGGTCTAGTTTGGGCTGGACAGAAAATTGCCCTGATCGATGCAAAGGAATGCAGCCTAAGCAGTGGGGAATGGGATTTCATGCCAGTCCCTGTTCTGATCAGTGCTTGTAGTTTAGTTAGCAGTAAGAATTGTCATGATCCTGGGGAGAGGGTAATGTGCAGTTGCTATGGTGAATAACAGATGTTGAACTAATTCCTAACAATGCCACATAGGGCAGGATTCTGAGACTCCTACACTGAATAGCATTGAAATGAGCGGGAGTACTTTGGGGTAGTAAGCATTATCTGTCAGAAGTCAGAATCTGGCCCATAAGAAGGAGAAAAGTAAATGTGGAATGACATTAATTTTCAAGAAGCTCGTGGTTTTATCATGGGTTTAGCTTGTTCCTAGTCTGTTCATGAAGTAAGTGTAAAGGCAATTGCAGAGTTATGACCAACAAAATGGCACCTGTTGTAAAGTAGCTGAAGTCAGATGTTGCAATCCTCCGAGAGGTTACAAAATCAAAACAGGTTCTCTGGACGAGTGTGAGGCTTGGCAAAAGGATAAGGAACCTTCCATCTATTCAAATAGACCCTAGGGCTGTACAGGCTAAAGTGCCTTATTATTCGTCAGGTGCTTGATATTTGAGATGAGTCAGTGGATTTCAGTCTATTTCCTGGTGATTTTGTGCAATCTGGCAATTCAACAAAGCCCTTGAGCATGTGCTGAACGTTAAGCAGGGAGGCCTGGCTACTAAAATACACACAAGCAATGGGATGTAGCCCACACTCACATGATTTGCTGACTGGAAGGCTCAGCAGAACGCCTCGGAACAGATGGGTTATTCAAAACTTGAATTTCCATCCTGACCCTTTTAAGCGTGTCATTTCTCTGGGTCAGTGGAGAGACAGCAGAAGGGCATTGTGGGGAATTTTGCACTGCTGCCGCCTGGACTGTACTAGGTCTGTGGGTAACAATTAACTCTTTGTGCTTGTAGGCCATGTGTACATTAGGGAATTTTAGAAAAGCATTCCCGCTGGTGCCAGCCCCAGCTCAGCTTTACCAGTGGGAGCCAGAGTATAGACAGTAAGAGAGGCCATACTGGGTCAGACCAAAGATCCATGTAGACCAATATCCTGTCTTCAGACAATGGCCAGTGCCAGGTGCCCCAGAGGGAATGAACAGAACAGGGAATCATCAAGTGATCCATCCCCTGTCGCCCATTCCCAGCTTCTGGCAAACAGAGGCTAGGGACATCCTCCCTGCCCATCCTGGTTAATAGCTCCCTTAACGTGTGGTCTTTTTAACACTGTGTGCTTCTATTCAGCAGCAATATAAACCACAAGCATCGAGGGTGACATTCTCCAGCACCATTAATTCATCATGGCTCATTGGCATTCACTTGACTAATAGGAGGAAAAAATTAAACAACTCCTCCTTTCCATGTGTCTCACATCTCACATGCTCTGCAGCCCATGATTCCATTGGATAATAGCATTTTGCAGTGGTGAAATAGTAAAATAAAATAATACCACCCCAAAATGTCAGGGTTTCTTTTACAGGAAATCTATTGATGTTAAAATAAATAGAATGATATTCTTTCTTTTTTTTTTTAAAGCTAGTAAATTCCAAAAGCGGATTTATCCAGTTCCTACAATATGCTTAAGGACTTATAGCACATGATCAAATGCAGATTTATTAGGGGCATAAAGAGTTGGCATACGGCATCCTCAGTGCTGCTTTGTTCTGGTCAATGAGGATTTTTCATCTTAATCATTATTCCTGGGACCATATGTGGCCCTGCATTTTCCAGAGCTGTTTTAGTTTTATTACATATAAGGGGTGGATGAGCACTTCTTGCTGGTACATTTTGCTAGAGACCGTGGGAAGAATGATCTTGTAGTGAAGTCACTGGGCTGTGACGCCGTAGAGCTGAGTTCAAAAACTATTGCACTAACGATTTTGCAAAATGTTTTCATTGTTCATCAGAATGTTCCGGCTGAAAGCACTCTCATTCTTAAGAGGAAAGCATTAGGAGAAAACAAAGAGCAAAAAGACCTACACACATGCTAAAGAGCTTGCCAGGAGTCATTCCACTCCAACCTTGGGGCTTGGTAGCTATCAATCATTCATAACCCACAACTGAGTTTTCCCTGTGGTTACCAGTTCATAACTGTGTCGGATTCAGAATCAGAACAACCATGAATAGTTCAGTCTTTCCTCTATGCAGCTTGGGCCTTTGATCTTGGCCTCATATAACAAGTGATTAGCAGACAATGGCTCTCTCCACAGGGCGTAGTTTCAAAAGGCTGGTTTTTTGCATAACTGGAGGTGGGGAATTTTCATTTACCTCCCCCTAGATCTTCTCCAAGAAAGCCACTTAACACTTTTTGTTCCCAAGGTCCATTCTTGTCTGGCACATTGTTCAATAAAGTCCTTTGAACCCTCAGGTCTCA